CCCCTATCCTGCACCCCCCCCCCCGTGAAAAACCAAGGTACGTCGCGTCTGGCCCCATGGTGCGCTCCAGCTACAAGGCGGGGGAGGTGTTCATGGAGTCCATGATCCACGCAGACAGGAGGCAGCGCGACGCGGACGCCGCCGCCACCGCCGCCGCCGCGGCGAGCTGACAGGGGCCGGCCGGCCGGCCGCGCGGGCCCCTTGGCCGCGGCGGGGCCGCAGGGCGCAGGGTCGCAGGGCGCAGGGTCGCAGGGCGCTTCGGGGTTTGCCTGGCGCTGGCGGGTCTGGAGGGGCGGTTGTTAGCGGCGGTTGTAACCGTCCCCTGCCTCGGACCTCCGGCCGCGCTTCGGACGGAAAGGGGTCTCCCGCTGCCCCACCATCTGGACCGCTGCGGCGACGGGTTTGCCTTTTGAGGGGGCTGCCGCCAACACTCGGCTGCGCTCGCGGTCACTGAGGCGGCTTTGTGTATCTGGGGATTCAACAGCACCCCGCAGTCAGTGAGATGCGCGATGCGCAGGAGTCAACCGTGTGTGCGGCCAGTTACACAGTGTGGATGCCCTAAGCAAGCCGGCAGGGAGCGCTGATATGCAAATTGTCGTGCGTATGCGTCCTTTTGCAAAGGCGGCGGGGGACGAAACGGCGCCGGAAGGGGTCCGGGCGGGGCTGCGGCGGTGTCACCAGCCGCGGTGCTCGAAAAACGGCGCCTGCGTCTCACTTCAAGATGACAAAGGGACGAATCAAAAACAAAGGGTGGCTTTTACGTAGGAGGCGGGGATTGTGCGTGCGGGGCAGAGCAACAGAAAAATGACACGCGGGCTGTGCGGAAGGGGGGGGGCAGGCAGGCTGGAGGCACATGGTGAGCGGAGGAGCGGGGGGCCCTCGACTGCCCCCGCCCTCCGCTCAAGCGGGCCCGCGGCGCCCTGCACGCCCCACCGGACCGCCCGCGCAGCCGCGTCCCTGCCTAGAAGCTTCGATGGCGCCGGCGGTGGCGCGCTGCCGTGCGCGCCTGCGCACGGGCCGTGCGAGCCGAGCCGCGGTGGCGGCCGTGTGTTTACATTTATCTGCGCTTTCTGATTGGTTTCGCGTGTTACGCGCGTCGCTCGGGACCGTCCTGGAGCCGCGCCGGGCGCGGCGCCGGCCCCCGGGCTGGGCCCCTGGCTTGGCTGTGGCCGGCGGCGGCGCCTGCAGCGCCCGGCTGCTGCATTTGGTGGCCGTCCCTCTGCCCTCTCTTCCATGCCACTCGACCACTCCTGCCTCAGACCCCTCCTCCCACGCCACTTGAGCGGGACGCACAGATCTGCCTGAAACATCGAAAAGAGCTGCGGACGTGCAAAACGCGTGCGTCGCGGGACGCGCCGCGCCGCCCTCACGCCCCAAGCGCCGCCGTCGCGTTCGCGACCGCCGCCGCGAGCGGCTCCGCAAACGCCGCCGCGGCGGCCGCGGCGGCCAGCTGCGCGGCGGCGGGGCCGGGGACGGCGGAGGCGGCGGCGGCGGCGAGGGCGGAGGGATCAGGGGCGGCCGCGGCGGAGGCAGCTGCCGCGGCGGCGGCGGCCATCCCCAAGCCTCTCTGTTGGTGTCGCACCACGTACTGCCGGGAGTGGATGAGGAATGGTGTATGTGTATGCGATGGGGTGGGACGGTTCAAAAGAGGGGGAATAGGGGGAGATGGAGACCAGCTGTCAACGGGGCCACGAAAGCACAGGCTGTGCAATGACACGGCACCCCCCTCGCCATGACACGAGGCTTGGCGGAAAGCGAGGCCCGCCGCGGCGAAGCCGTCCGCGCAGCGGGGCCGGGGCGAGAGGGTTTCCAGCCTGTCCGTCGCGGCTGCGACATGTGCGTTTCGCCCCTCCCCCATGTGTGCGTTAGTAAGCTCACGTCGTGGTAATACATCATGAGGGCCGCCTGGGGGTGACGGCGGCGGGCGGTGTTGGGGTGTTTCATATGTGAGGGAGTGTGTTGGTGGTGGGTGGGGACGGAGGGGGACGATGGCGTCAGGTGATGAAAGGGGTGTGGGTGAGTCGTCTCAAGGGTGCAAGAATGGAGACGTGAGGGAGCGACCAGATGGGGGC